AATAACTAACTTATTGTAAGTGTTTAAGGATGTGGTAAATTAGTGAAAGAGGCATTAAGCGCTGTGAACGATGAGGGAATATAAAAATAAAAAAAGGCAAACATTATTTTTAAGTTATTATAATTTATTATAATATAAATATATCAATCTCTTAATGCTATAGCGTAAACAATATTTTTTGTTGGCCCATCTTTAGCTAATACAAACAAACTGGATGGTTTACCCACTCGAGAGCATGCCACGTATAATTGTCCGTGTGAAAAACATGGTGTTCTCAAATCTAAGCCACAAATAGACATTGTTTGACCTTGGGATTTGTTGATTGTCATTGCAAATGCCAATCTAATCGGAAACTGATAACGTTTGAATTAAATTGGCACATCTGTAGGTATAATAGGAATCCGTGGTATTAATATATTTTCACTTCGGAACTTGCCATTTAAAATGCTGGCTTCGATCACGTTTTTCATTAATTTTTGAATGACTAATCACGTACCGTTGCACAGCCGGGGTGGGTTAAAATTACGAAGCAAGATAATCGCAGATCCAACCTTTAATTGTAAATTATGCGGTGGCATGCCTGGTAAATCCAGTGAGTTCAAAAACTCTGTGGGAAAATTTACTGCTTCGCTGTCGTCGCAAACTGTATCAATCGATTTATATGATACCAAGTTCCCTGGCAAGAACATGTGTATCTTCAGATTTAAATTGTCAACGTCTACATTTTTTGCCGCTAAAATTGCTCTTTCTGCAAGCCACTCATGATGTATGTACTGTGTGTGTACATCGGGAAATATTTGTTCAATGAGAGTATCTTGCGAATCAGCGATTGTGCAGAAATCGGTCGGTAATTTTACGTATCCAGTTTCATCTATAGCAACTTTTCCATCACCGATATCTAAGAGTTGTTTTGAAAATGTTTCAGCGGATGGATCTTGAAGCATTTGAACGCGCATATTTACTTTCAGCTGTACTTTTTCAACGTTACGCCACAATGGAGATGATTTTAAGCAAGCGTTGATCTCATCAGCGTATGTTGAACGTGGAATGACTGGAAGTGTTTGCCTGAAATCACCTGAAAGGACCAACAGAGTTCCGCCAAATAGATTGTCGTTGTTTTTAATATCTTTCAATGTCCTGTTCAACGCCTCAAGCGAATGTTTGTGTGCCATAGTACATTTATCCCAGATGATAATTTTATCCCTTGCCCCTTCCAGAATATTAGCGGATATTGGAGAGCGTCATATGAACGATGTGTATCAGCAATGAACTGAAGATTATTATTTCTTCTACGAATCACAATTTCTCGTGCACCTGTACGATCGCCAACCATGATTCCAGCAACATCATCAACAACGGGTGCATTGAATCTACGAATATGCTCTCCAGCTGGTGTTTTATCAGGATTAATGACGATAGCGTGATTATCGCTTTGTAATTTGTGCATGTGTGATTTTAATATTTTCAACAATTCGTTGTGCTCATTCAATAGAGCATCCAGCTCGCTGACGATGCGTCTGGCATAAAATGAATCAAGGTTATTATAATCACAACGTGCATTCACGCGATTGGCAAGTGCGCTTCCGGAATCCTCGCCGCCCATGAAGTAGATTTGTAAAAATGTATGTGGTTCGTTTGGCATTGGCAGCAGTGAGCCCATTTTATGATAAACTTGGCCTCTGATTTTGAATGTAGAATTGTATTGTTGACCATTTGCATTAGTATTTCGAACTATTTCTGTTGCTCCGAACGATGTCATTTGAAAGCATGAATTGAATGTTCGAATTGACTTCAGGAACACGTTAGAATCTGGATCCGTGCCGATAAGTAAACCGTTCAATGGTTCAGATGGTGTTTCAATTTCAGGTAGTTGCACTTTTCCTGACGCGCAACACATCCCAGCTGGCTCATTTTTGAATTTCAGAGCATGACAATGCGGACATTCCTTGTCCATAGCACCAATTACCACTTTTGAATGAGCATAATATTCAATATCGGGCTCATACTGGAATGCTAGACGCAGGAATGAATCAGATGTAAATGCTCGATGTACCTGTTGTCGTTGTTGGTCATTTGTTCTGCGTCTATTGACTGTGAAACGGCGTGATTGTCGTTGTTCTAATCTTATTACTTCATTGCGTTCAGCTCGNGTTCCTCATTCATTAGTGGGACATTGCGGGCAACAATCGCTGCCATTTCTACAGTGCTGTACTGCAGTTCACGATTCATTTCAGAATTCATTAAATCAGATTCAGTTCGATTTGGCGAATTCATACCGAAATGACTGAGTGGTAAGTTGGCAATGACAATGCAAAGATCCTCAATAGCAATTAATGCTTCATTGTACATTGCGTCGCTGAATGTTATGGTTAGATCGTGGCACCGTGTACGATGTTGATGCAATATATCATCAGTCATTGAATCTTTGTGATCTGTGCTCGGGCTGGGAAACATGTAGTCAACACTATAGCGAATAGTAGACGAATTTGTATTGCTATACAGTTCAATGCAGCTTCAGCAAGCATACATTCCCACTGGTTGTCGTCTTCCAGCAAGCCGAGTGCAAGGCATGCATCTTTATACGTTGGATAGTGTTGCCCATTCACTTTACGTATATCTTGAAATGATAATGAGCCAGTAACATTAACCAACAACAGTCGAAGATAAAAGCACTCAGTGTGTCTTGGATTGACTGTAAATAATCGCCCCAAGGCGTTTGATTTGAATAAATTGGGACATGCATCAACTGGTGAGCCTTGCTTGCGAGGCATCCATTTTTTTGTTTGAGCCCATGTGAAATAGCGTGGTACTTGTGAATAGGGTAATGTTCGGACAAAGGCACCAAAATCATCCGCACGATTACACAATTCAAAAAAATCAGTGAGTGTAGTTTTTGGTGGATTTATAGCACGATCAATCGCTGTCTCGTTCGTGAAAAATACACGCTGACCGTTTTCAAGGTGGACAGCTAACTGAACAACTGCTGGATCCTTAAAAAAAACTTATTAAAGACTTCAACTTTTGTCTGAACACACGTGCTGTAATGTCATGGCGATGTATAGCATTTTGGCCAGGCAATAGCAAAGATGCAATCTCTGGCCATTTTGGATTACATGTGAACGTGATAAATAAACATGGTCGTCCATATTCGCGCACGAAAGTCAGAGCATCCTGTATATATTCTTGCATATGACGTGGACTGCCTACGTACGATGATGGTAAAATGACATGGTTACCAATTTCGGCGACGTCGGCGTTGTTGTTGATAGCGTCTCGCAAATGAATGTACTCTTCCGCACGCAGCTTTAGTTGATTATATCGTAAGTATCGTAGTCGTTCGCCCTCAATCTTCGCGTACATGTCGACCATGAATTGTTGACAAAGCTCACGACATCGTAGAATGACGTTGTCCAGGCCGCGTCTAATCATTAATCGGTACGCATAATAATCCTTTGAGCTAACGTTCTTGTTTGTTTCAGCTCCTGTAATAATATATTCATAAAAATTAATTTAAATTAATTACGTTCAATAATTTAATTGTTTTGTTAAATGATTAATGATCAAATTCATAATCAATGAAGTACCTGATACGGGATCTCGTTGTTTTATGTTTATGCAATATCCGTCTTGTCCCTTCCAGAATATTAGCGGATATTGGAGAGCGTCATATGAACGATGTGTATCAGCAATGAACTGAAGATTATTATTTCTTCTACGAATCACAATTTCTCGTGCACCTGTACGATCGTCAACCATGATTCCAGCAACATCATCAACAACGGGTGCATTGAATCTACGAATATGCTCTCCAGCTGGTGTTTTATCAGGATTAATGACGATAGCGTGATTATCGCTTTGTAATTTGTGCATGTGTGATTTGAATATTTTCAACAATTCGTTGTGCTCATTCAATAAAGCATCCAGCTCGCTGACGATGCGTCTGGCATAAAATGAATCATGGTTATTATAATCACAACGTGCATTCACGCGATTGGCAAGTGCGCTTCCGGAATCCTCGCCACCCATGAAGTAGATTTTTAAAAATGTATGTGGTTCGTTTGGCATTGGCAGCAGTGAGCCCATTTTATGATAAACTTGGCCTCTGATTTTGAATGTAGAATTGTATTGTTGACCATTTGCATTAGTATTTCGAACTATTTCTGTTGCTCCGAACGATGTCATTTGAAAGCATGAATTGAATGTTCGAATTGACTTCAGGAACACGTTAGAATCTGGATCCGTGCCGATAAGTAAACCGTCCAATGGTTCAGATGGTGTTTCAGTTTCAGGTAGTTGCACTTTTCCTGACGCGCAACACATCCCAGCTGGCTCATTTTTGAATGCATGACAATGCGGACATTCCTTGTCCATAGCACCAATTACCACTTTTGAATGAGCATAATATTCAATATCGGACTCATACTGGAATGCTAGACCCAGGAATGAATCAGATGTAAATGCTCGATGTACCTGTTGTCGTTGTTGGTCATTTGTTCTGCGTCTATTGACTGTGAAACGGCGTGATTGTCGTTGTTCTAATCTTATTACTTCATTGCGTTCAGCTCGTGTGTCTTCTGACTCTTCTTGACGCAATTGCGCCATTCTGACACGTGCATCAGTATTTTGTTGCTGGATTTGTTCTTCGGTTCTTTCGGATCTTCTATTTCGCAAGCTTCGAGATTTACTTGTATTACGGTTCAAATCAGCCCCTTTGCGTTTTGTTGGCATTGAANACACACGTACATAGGTTAGGTTAGGTTAGCAAAATTAGCCAAATCGGCCCAGCCGTTCTCAATTGTTATTGAAACCAATAATAAAAAATAACCACATAGAGTGTATATTATCTCTCCATGACAAAATAATAATTGTTGAATATCGTGCGTGCTAGTATACTTTGACTTAAGAGGCCATAACTCCGGAACCACGTATCGCAGAGCATGCAAACTTAGATAGTAGCCGATTCTCAGACCTACTGAATATGCATATAAAATTTCATGAGAATCGATCAAGCCGTCTCGGAGGAGTATGGGAACGAACATTGTGACACGATAATTTTATATATAAGATAAGATGTAAAGAAAACTATATTTTTCTTAAATTCGTATGCACCGCGTTACCACCAGCTTTTACCATTAGACGTCACGACGGACGGTTGTGATGTATAACCGCATTTAAATATGATAGTGGGCTGTTATCATTACTATAAATTAATCTATTATTTTTGTTTTTTAATTTACTTTAACATTAATTCGCTCTAATTAATTTATCTTGAATAAAACGAATTATGAAATAAAAGACTTTAAACGTTGTTTCTTTTGTTTTTATTCGTGAGTAAATCTCTATCAATAGTGTAAGTGTTTAACTGTACCTAAATATTGATAAAAAAAAAAAAAATAATAAAAACGTTTGTTTTTATAGAGAAACGCAATTACGCCTTGTTCATCTCCAAATAGTGATAAACCATTATATATGTATATATTATACACATTATTCCATATGCGCAACTTTTTCGTAATATAATAATACAACCACAGAGTATTATACACAACGTGATATTATAATTTATTATGATACTACAATACTATAGTCACTGTATATTTATATAAAAATAAAGTCAACGCGGTTATTGTACACATACACGCGTAAAACGATATACTTACCGACTAATTAATTTTTATGTATATATAATATAAACAATAATAATATTATACTTATACATTAAAAAAAATGTGTACAAATCAGTCGTTTAGAAAACACAAAAAAAAAAAAAACCGAGTGTAATATAAAAATTCGTCGTCGTCATTCAATGCGGAATATTATGTCATCGCGTATAGGTTCATATACGTCAACAATGACGGTAACTTTAAACAATATTAATCCTATGTGTACTCGTACGTCACATCTTAATCTCTAAACTTTGGAAAGACTTCGATAAAATAATATAATAACAATCATAACGTATTATACATACTGATAATATATGGGTTACGCGTAAAACACTCTGATCGCGATCGGTTATGTACATTACAACAAACGGTATCCGTATATACGTGTATTTATTAATATAGGCAGGTACTTATGGATTAAAAAAAAAAAAAAAGAACACTTGTCGAGTAAAAAAAAAAAAAAAACAGTACAAAGCACCGAGACATTTTCGAAAGGCGAAAAAACCGAGTCCGTACGTGACAGTTGTTGCCGCCGTATTGACGTAGGGCGGGACGCGTCGTTTTTTTTTTTTTTTTATTTTCTTTTGCTAATAACCTAAAAACAAAACGACACGCTCGTATAGGATGGCGAGAACACCGCAGACTTATCAACTACCGGTGGACCGCGCGCCTCGTAGGTACGTATCGTCTCGTGTCGTTCGAAAATCAGACTGAACCCGATAAGCAAAATCGGATGTCCGGAGACGCAAACCGAGACAGTTTCCGCGGTTCGTCCTGTCCGTCGATTCGTCACCGCGAATTCGCGCTTATCACACGGTACGTCGTGAATTATCAAAAATACCCGTGGGATTATAAAGCGGGAATTCGTAAGTGGTAACCAGACGGTTTTCTCGGAAAAACCTCTTGGAGAAGTGGTTTTTTTTTTTAATTTTCGTTTCGCTTATCGGGTTCAGTCCGGACGGACGCGTTTTACTCGACGCGCGGTCCACTTGGTAATCGGTCCACGGATAACACAACAATATGGCGACGGCGGCGTTGGCGGCCGCAATCACATGTAGTTTATGGGATTGACGGCGGCGCCTCCGTTTCTCGGGTCGCCCGCGGCCCAACGCCGCTGGTGGTGTTCGGCGGCGGCGCGTTCGTCGCCGTAATGAAAGTGCCGGAGGTCGTGCTGTTGGTGCTGTTGCTGCCGGTGCCGTTGCTGTTGCTGGTGTTGGTGCTGGTCGTCCGCGCGGGGCGGCGGACGCGGCGGCGAATTGCCAATGCTGTAGCACGGCGACGACGTCCGGTCCAACGACGTCGGGCTGACGCTGTACGCCGTACCGGGTGGAGCCGCGTGTTTGCCCCGCTTGATCGAGTGCGTGTAGTCCCGGGTGCCGCGTCGCCTGAGCGTAAAGTCCCGTTCGCCGGTCACCTGGTACTGTTTTTTCCACTGCACCCAACAGTGTCTGTATATCGGGTCCACCGGGCCCCAGTTCCGCGACGGTTTGACGGTGCTCAGGAATTTCTGTCGCGGGAAAAAATATCGAATTTTCAGTAACGATTTTATCATTTTAATTCGAATCGACAGACAAGTCGAATATATCAAATATATAGTTCGAATATAACATTTAGTGCAATGGTTCTCGACCTATTCCGTCTACGCTCCCTTTGTAGATTTCTCCCCCTCCAAAAAAAAAAAAAAAATTTGATAAATTATTTTTGTTGTATACTTTACAACTATGTAGACTTATTATTATTTTTATTTTTTTTTTCGTTTTTTCTCCCGTTTATGTATAATACATATAACTGAATTAATACAAATTTACTCCGTAATGACTGTGACTGCCCGTGTCTCCCTAGCAATGTCCCATAAGTTACCCCAAAGGAAAACAATGATTTATAGTAAATTATGCAATATAATGGATAAAACTAAGGGAAGAGACAGAAGCGTGTATAATGCGGGCACGTTGAAAGAAGGAGAAATTACGATAAAACAGGTGCGTGCATATATTGTATGTACAGTATACACATATATGGACACCAGAAAAGAAGTTCTGCACAGAAAAGTAAGGCTACAATAAAGGTTGTTATAAACAAGGAGATGTGAGGTCGTGATGTAAAATAAATGAAGAAATGACGATAGTATGATATATAGTCTTTCGTTAGGCCTTTCGAACTATTTTTAGGCTTATGTGATCGCGTCCTTTGCGGGACTTCGTATCGGGCCGGGGGCTCACCTGCGAAAAGTTGTAGTCCACTTGGGCAGATATCTGCCACACAGCAATGCCGATGATCAGTGACCACACGAACAGATAAACGATCCAGCCGATGACGTACAGCCACATGGAATCGTTAGCACTGTAATCGGACTCGGTTAGTGGCATGATGAACAGGCTCCAAAATTCGAATACCTGTAATCACGCAAATCGGTTATTATAATCCAGAAATAATAAAATTGCGGGTGTTTATAGATTAAAATAATCCAATAAAAAAAACAAACAGAAAAATAGCCGTGTATTATAAAAGTACATACCATAAACAAAACAGGCGTGCCCAACCATATTGACTTCCACAGGAAACATAATTTGTAGCCGAGCACAAATTCAAAATCGTTGGACAACGACTCCAGTCCGTAGATCCAAACGAAACCGATCAGCTCCAGCACCGTGGACGTCACCAACATACGGCCGATAATGTACTCGTCCAGCAGATGGACGGCCAGGAGATTTTCCTGTTGAAAAATCCGACGGGTATTTGTGTTAATTTTCTTTCTATTGTATTTGTATTGTTTTTAAAATGTTCTACTCACTGGCAAAAGACACAAGACACCCATCAAAAATCCGATGAAACAAATCGTGCAGGTGAGAATCCACCACTTCCATTTTTCCTTTGTCTCCACGGAGAGCCCTACGATCGCGGTGTAAGTGGCCGCTATCTGTAATATGGCAGCAATATAATATAGATACAGTTCAGAAACTTCCAATAACATCACTTAGCCCATATACGTGATTATGCATTATGCGAGGTGCAATAGGCGGAATTTAAAAAATTTAAAAAAAAAGACTCTATACTCTTGAAATTCGGAGTAAGATTTCTGGTATAAAGCAAAAATCGTAAAAGTATAAAATAATGAAATATTAGTCCTTTTATCCAATAAGTTATTTCCAGTTTTTTTTTAATTATTATGAAAATCCAAAAATGACCACTCGATACACCGATTTAGATCTAAAATGCGAAAAAAAAGGTCTCTAGGTAATTTTGTGATCGGAACGAGATTTCTGGTAAAAAAGTAACCGGGTTTGAAAAAAATCGATATCACGGCGTGACAGTAAGTGTGGCGCGAACTTCATCATCGGCGTTTTGTGACAAATGTAAATTTATTTACTAATACTCATTATAATATGCTTAAACGATTACACAATATAATATCTACCCACCCACGCCCATCCGCTTTGGCCGTGAAGCAATTTTGGCTTCGAACTTCAAACGATCCCCTAGATCCGGCCGCTGCCGCCGTGTGGGATGGCGCAAGGATGCGCACGCTACAGTATCCCACGATCGTGTATTGCAATCGGGCGATTATTTATCGTTTATTGTACCACGAGTATATTGAATGGTTATTGTAAAACATTTATGTTGTTATTATTATTGTTTATAATAAGTTTATTTCACATCGCGTCAAAAAAAAAAAAAACAACTTTATAATGAGGCACATGTTCGTAAATACGCTTTTATTGTTGTTTTTCGTCTGAATATTGACACACGTACATAAACCAACACGATTCACATTTATACAGGGTGTTTCAGGTTCGTCCGTACAAATTTTGAGAATGATGTCGTGTTGTTGTGAGTGGAATCAAAAACTTATTTTAGGTTCGTTTTGACGTTAAAACCACGGGCTACTGACGGCATCTATATTTTCTATATTAATCTATATTAATATTAAATTTAACGCAAAACTAATTCGAAAATTGGGTTACTACCGTTGAAGTTTTTTCCCGATATTATTAAGAAAATCTAAAGGTTACGGTCCAATGCACCAACTAGATTAACAATTCTACAAGAAAGTTTTTTTATCGG